GGAGCCTGATTAGAGCAAGTGGGTAGTCCAATCGACATTTGGGATCGTGAAGTATGGTGGTGTGACCCCATAAATCCCGGTGAATCTCGGCCGCCGCTCTTGATCGTGGGTTCTGAGCTTCTGGCCGTGGAGACGCATTTATTGCTATGATAGTTGGTGACCTTTTCTCTCAAGCTGCAAGGATTCTTGTGAGAATGTCTACGTCTAATCACTCTGATCCTCATCACCAAATCCTGACTTCAGTCACTTCCCACCTTCCCTCGCGCATTAAATGCTTATTTGTGGCCAGTGGGTTTGCTGCATTAAATAGGCACTACTTCATTAAATGAAGCATGGGTCCCTGCTATCACGTGATGATCTGACTTTAATATTTCTTGCCGCGATTTTGCTCGGCCTCGGCCTCGGCCCGCAACCGAGGCTGAGATGAACATGCCTTAGCGTTTTTCTTTTGTCTTCAGGAAGGTAAAGTACCTTGGCGAAACGCTGCGTTTCAATTTTACGAGTAAGTGCCAGGGCCGAGAAAAGGGGCTCCTTCGGCCAGCTCACGGCCGTGATTTATTAGGCACAAACAATATATATATATTCTCCATGAGCTTGGCGAGTTGAGGTCGGTTCTTCGTCAACTTGACCATGAGCTTAGCACGTCGATATGGGTTCCTTGCCAACCTGACCACGAGCTTGGTGAATCGAGGTCAGTTATTTGCCAACCTGACCATGAGCTTGGCATGGCGAATTAGGTTCTTTGCCAACCTAACCATGAGCTTGGCATGGCGAGGTAGGTTTTTCACCAAGCTCATAAGTAAAAAGTCCACATCAGAAAGGCTTTGAGAGCCAGCTGCCAATTGAAACCAAAACCGATATCTATTTGGAGTAGTAGAGATCAATTCACACTGAGTCACTCCCATATGTAACTGGAGTAGTTCAAATTAATTCAAACTGGACCAAACCATATATCTTCAGTTACCCATTAGCCACAATCGATACAGAGCTTTGAGTTTGAGACGCCAAAACCAAAGAGAAATAAAAGCAAGGTTAGTCTTTTCCTTTGCTCTTTTCTGTCAGAGTTAGACCATATAGCCCATTAAACTATTAATCGAAAGTCTGGGAGCTTAAAGAGGCAGTATCTGTTTGTCAAAGTACAGAGCTTGTTACTCTTTATTTGCTACTTTTTCTTCTCTTTGTTTTTTTCTTGCTACTGGCTACTTTTTTTGCCTTGCGTTTTATTTATTCTTCTTTCTTACTTTTGCTCGTCTTCTTCCTTGCTTTTTGTTTCTTGTTTTCTTCTATTTACTTTTCTTGCTTTTCTTCTTCCTTGCTTTTGTTGCTTTCTTCCTGGTCTTCCAACTTTTTTTTTTGTTGCTTTCTTCTTCAATCTTGGGCATGGCAGGAGGTGGAGGCTTCTTGGCTTGAAATTGGCGAGCCATATTTCCCTTTTGGCTTTTTCCTTGAACCACTAATTTGCAGCCCTGCGTACGACGCCGTTTATGGGGGTGTCGAAACGGGTGAACTGGTGGTTCTGGACAAAGGCCGTGTGTCGTGCACCTTTTTTTTGGTGTTACGAGAAAAGGAAAATAAACTCTTCTCTCTTTTGGGATCTCTGCTTTTCTTTTTGTATGAGATTTTATTTTCATCATTTCCTTGAAGGCTTGACTGTATTTTTGGGTCCAAAGACAATTTTGAATTCTCTACTCCCTTCCGATCTCTTGGTGATTTTTCTTTTCTTATTTGTATTTTGCAGCAATGACCTGATGCTTTGGTGCATTCTTTTCTTTATGATTTGATTGCATATTTCCCTTTGCAAACTGAGATCTTTTGGGAGGGTTATCATACCGCCAATTAAGATGCTGACTTTGTTTTGTCTCATTTGCATCATGTCTTGCCAGCAACCAAGTAAGAACCTTTTATGATATTTGCAAATTGTTGTAGAGGAGTGTTGTCTTAGTAACTTGCATGGGCCGTCCGGCTTGGGATTTTTCTTTGTTGGCAACTTTTGGAGCACAAGACGTGGATGTGAGTCATCAGCTTTTGTAAACTTTCTGGTAATTAGTAGTATCTGCATATCTTTTAATATTATATTTTCTTCTGTTTATGCATATGGGTGAGACTAAAACAGAGTTGTTGATTTTCTCCGTTTGCAGCACGTTTTGCGATCTCTTCTTTCTCCAATTTGCAGATCCGGAATTTCACTGTGCTGAAGGTGGGTTAGGATATAACACGCCATTTTCTGTTTTTGGTACTCAAGAACACTCGCAAGGTCTTCTCTAAGTACCACAACGTGCCTATGGACACTCACAAGGTGTTCATAGCACTCAATACAGTGGGGTTCTTGCGGAAGCCCATCTTTACATTCACAATCGAGAGGTCCTTGCTGGAGCTCTCAGTGTAAATAGCAGTCATTACCGATTTGAGAAGATCAACACTGTGGGGCTCTTGTAGAAACGCATATGTACCTTCACAACAGAGAAGTCTTGCGAGAGCTCTTTGTGTAAATATCACGATTATTGCCAATTTGAGAGGATTTGTTTACATTTTCCATTGCTGAGACCTCTCTTGATATCAGACATTTCTTGATATCAAACATGGAGGAATTTTCAGGCTTCTGTACAATGGCCTTACACACATTTTTTGCCTACAAGTTAGTTGTACAGAAAATGATACTCAAATGAATTAGTTTTATACCTTCCCAATTGTATTGTGACAGAGCTTTGTATCTTCTTTGCTTGTTTCTACAGCAGTTTTGGTATTTTTTTCTTCTGTGTAGCCCTTCTATGTTTTCTCTCCTTTGCGTTTTTCCCTTTTTTGTTTTCTCCTCTTTTTGTTTTTGCTCACCAATGGTCCCTTTTTATAGACCCAGAGAAACTGAAGAGAGTGGAGCCAGTTATGGGCTCACATACTGTGTGGGTACCATATGTGGGAGTAACTTCCCATTTTTAGTCAACCCCTCAACTCCACACTCCAAAGTCACGTACATGAAGCATATTCTGTTAGTGCTTTCAATATATTAATATTTTCGTGTAAAAATATTAATATTAATTCATTTTGGGCCTAAATCAATTTAGCAATAAGCCAACAAGACCATTTTAGCTATGAGCCCAACTTCTTTAAACTTGGGCTAGAATTTAATTTGATGTCAATGAATTTTTTATTTCAATATGCACTTCTTTCGAAGTCCTAGGCGACGTCATGTTAAACAGAGCTTCTATATTTTCTGGATTCGCCTTGATGCCACACTGGCTAACCATTAACCCTAGGAATTTTCCTGAGCTGACCCCAAAGGCGCACTTGGCAGGATTAAGCCTCATCTTATACCTCTTTAATACCTCGAAAGTTTCAGCTAGGTCTTGAATGTGATGATCAACCGTGACACTCTTGACTAGCATGTCATCGACATATACCTCCATATTCTTCCCGATCTGGTTGGCAAACATCTGATTGACAAGTCCACTTCTTCCTTCATGGCAGGGTACCGTTCTGCATCGTAAGCTCGACATTTTTGGCGTATTGGCTTGAAGGTGGGATCAATACTTAGATGGTGTGATATGATCTCGAGATCTATTCCCGGCATGTCTTCATATGACTATGTAAAGATCTCAGCGTTCTCACGTAGGAAGTTTGTCAGGTCATCACAAATCTGAGGTGGTAATTGGGCTCCAATCTTGATGATTTGATATGGGTGATTTCGTCGATTTGCAATTTCTCTAAGTCCCCTCCTAGCATCGCTTTTTTTTTACTTGTACCTTATCGTGGGTCAAGCTCGACCCCACGGTCTATCCCATCTCGTTTGACGACGTACATCTCCAACTTTTCCTTTCTTTTCTGCTTGGACGCCACGAGTAACACTCCTTAGCTTTTTGTTGATCGCCCTTCACATGTCCCACACCAGCTTTGGTTGGGAACTTCATCACGAGCATGTGCCTGGCAATGAAGGCTCAGAGAGAGCATAAGGCTGGTCGACCTAAAAAACCATTATAAGCAAAAGCGCATTCAACTATTAGAAAAGTTGTGTACACCGTTGTCCGTTGGGGTGCTATTCCAAGTGGCAGAGGTAGTGTGATGCTTCTAATGGAGTTAATGCTGTCCCCAGTGAATCCAAGCATGAGACTGACCACTAGCTTGAGCTCTTCTCATGATATCTCCATCTATTCAAAAGTTAATATAAAGATGATATTGACCGAACTGCCTGTGTCAATGAAAACCCATTTCACGCAAGAATTTGCAACCTCAGCTTGGATTATGAACGGGTCATCATGTGGGTGAACTACACCTCTTTCCTTCACCTCGTTAAAAGTGATCGCCGAGTACTCGAGCTTAGGTGACTTTGGAGTCCGATAGCCTAGACCAATCGAGAGTGCCTCGAGTCCAACTTGGGTACGTCGTGCATACCTTTTGTGCTTTGTTGGAGTCCCTAGCTAGAGTTGTTCCACCTGAGATAACATTGATGTCTTTCGTAGCACATGGTTGCTTGTTTGGTGTGTTGTCATGCTGCTTTGCTTGCTTCTTTTCACCCATGAATTGGTTTAGACGACCTCGCCTAATTAGTGTTTCAATCTCATGTTGGCGTTCGTAACATTGATCCGTCGTATGACTGTTATTGCGGCGATATCTGTAATATTGATTTGGATCCTTTCAGCCTTTGGAAAACCTCGAAGGTCGGGGTTTTGGCAACTCAGTTTGGACATGGAAGAAGACCTCCTCTCGATTAGTATTCACGGGGTGTAGTTGTCGAACTGCGGTCGAAATGGATTTTATGGTTGATCTTAGTCTCTCCCACCTTGCCTAGAATTCTCAAATATTCCTTTCTTGTCGTTTGGCTTATCATGTACATCATTTCGACCTTTTCTCCGTTTATCTCCTACACTAGGCTGCGACGGATCTTTCCCTTCTGGTGTGTCATATGTCATCTCCTCAGCGATGACATGACGATACGCCTCGGACACCAGGTCCTCATAACTCTTAGGTGGAAACTTGTTGACATGAAACAGAAAAGGTCCTCTTTGGAACCCAGCTAGAAGGGCAATATAGGTTGTATGTTTGGAGCAACTAGGGATGCTAATTACTTCTAGATTGAAACGGTTGATGTAGTGTCGCAACTTCTCCTTAGGGCCCTGCCTGATGCTGAGAAGGTAGTTGGGTAGGTACCTCTTCTTTGAGGTAGATAGAAATTGGTTCATGAAGCTCTGTTTGGGCAGGTTAAATGAGCTGATGAAGTCAGGCTTCAAGGACTTGAACCAATCCTTAGTTGATCCTTCTAAGAGCAGAGGAAAAGCTAGACATTTCATGGCATCTCCATCTTTCACATTCATCTAGTAACCGAAGTCGTTCAAGAAGTCCATCGGGTTGGTGGTCCCATCATAAAGTCGCATCCTGGACTGTTTGAAATCCTTTGGGAGCTTGAATTCAAGGATGTCTCTAGTGAATGGTAGGGTGTCAATTGTCATGGCTAGGTCAAGAGGTCCTGGACCTCGCTCACTGTTCGGTTCATTTTTACACATGATTTTTCATGTTATTCACCCACTATTTTGAGTTAGTTCTTGACATTTTATAGCTTTTTACTTCCTTTTTGTGTTTTCTTAGATTTTACCTTGGTTGGGATGAAAATGAGCTAAAAGTGCATTATTAGTTATAAATT